TTTCCTCTGCGCTACGGATTAGGATGTAAAAAAATTATATAATAATCGAATTTGTATAAAAATAATGCAATATTGAAAAAATAACTGAAGTAATTTTTTTTGTAATATACAGAACCAGAGGCGTAGCAAATGGGGAGGGGGGGGGGGGGGGCAGGGGGTACATATGTCCCCGGGCGCCGACCTTAGCGGTCGCCAAAATGGGTTGTAAAAACAAAATAAAATATCATTTTAGCTGCATTTTGGCATTATAAATAGTTTGAGTGGGCGCCAAATTGAAAGTTTGTCCCCGGGCGACGGGAAGGGTCGCTACGCCTCTGTACAAAACATAATAATGACGGCATGTTTGTGTGATAGCGCTCGACTTCCAATTTAAAAGTCTCGAGTTCAGATTTCGGTCCGGCTTTAGTCTGCATGCAGGAAGAGCCTGAGTCCACTCAGCTCAGATGGGTACCTGACTCATGTTGGGGAAAGTGTTGACCACACTATTCGTTCAGATGATGAGGTCTAGAAACAATTCTTCATCTATGCTAAACATCATTAGATCTGATAGAAGAACTTTACTTACTCTACACTATAAAGAATGAAGAAGTCGGTTAATTCTTTCTTCTTCTCCGTTCTTAATTTTAGTGTTGGATAAATTATACGTGTCAACTGGTTATGCACCATATGAACCGTTGACTCTGATTTCAGCCTGCTTTTCTTTTTTTTTGGATTTGCTTCCATAGCCTTTGTCCAACCAAGAACAAACTACAAGGCAGCAGTTGTTTGATTTTCGAGTTGTCTCTCCTAGAAGAGTGTCTGTCCCCAGCTAACGAGCCTGATCTGTCCGAGTTAATTATTTTTAATAATTTTAATAGTTATTTTTGAAAATCGCACGTACGTTTAGATTTGACTTATTTACCGACACTAGGGTCCGTGACTTTTTTCTTGTAAATCTCGTTTTCATGCTGTTGCGTCATATTCATCACAACTTTATACAGGTTTAAGTCTAGACTACAAACTACATCCATCACTGTAGAGTATCGGCCCCTTCTCTATCGCATCAGTAATTCACTTCTTTGATACAACTGACTGGATCTACTACTTTTCTAAAGCGGTTGGGGAGTTGTCGTTCTTGATTGGGGGGGGGGGGGGTTGGGACTACGTGATGTTTGATTACACGTTACTATAGAAATATTTTTTCGTCAGCGATAAATCTTCGATTTTCGTCTATCAATCTATTTCGATTATTTATTGGAAGTCGAGTTGGATGATTGAATAGTGTGTGTGTGTGGAGGGAGGTGAGGGGGTAAGTACATGAGTTGAGAATAGAAGTAAGATCTCTCATTATATATTTGTTTGTATATATGTTGCCAGTAAGTTTTGAGAATACGCTAGAAATCGTTTTAGGGACTTAGGTTAGAGGTGTATGTGGGGGGGGGGGGGGAGATGATAGATCACCAATGGTCATCAATAATATAAATGTTAATACTTGCGTTTATAAAAATATATGGAAACAAAATTTGAAAATATCCCCCCCCCAAAGAACAAATTCCTGATTTGTTTCAGCAATGCATAGTTTAAAAAATATCATCATCATCATCATTATAATCATCATCACCATCATCATCATCACAGTTGCTATTACCATCAAAATCCCAATCATTATCATAATCACAATTACAATCACCATCAACATCACCATCACTACCACCATCGTCATCACCATCACCATCACCATCGTCATCACCAGCACCAGCACCAGCACCACAACCATAATCATCACCATCACCATCACCATCACAATCACAATCACAATCATCATCACCCTCACCGTCTCTACCACCATCACCATCACCCTTTCCATCAACATCACTATCACCATCACCATCACCATCACCATCACCATCACCATCATCATCATCATCATCACCATCACCATCACCATCACCATCACCATCACCATCACCATCACCATCACCATCACCATCACCATCACCATCACCATCACCATCATCAATTTGACACTGGGTCGCAATCACACTTCTCTCCCTGACCCCTCAAATAACATCCATTCAATCCCGCACATTTACCATCATATTTTCCAAGCAGTTCACCATCTCGGAAATTGAATTCCAGATAAAAACAAATCTCGCTGAAATACCACCCACTCCCCGCCCCCACCCCCACGGTCTTTGTTGTCCCTCCCAGTTAACCTCAGCCACCACCCCATTCTAGAAGAACTCTCTTGAAACATCCAACCCGCGCCCAGAGCCAAGAAACACTACATTGCCTCTACCTTACTGAGTGCGACTTATTATTCAATCACTTTTCCCTCCTGATCCCAATGACCCCTACTTCTCTGGGGGTTTTGACAGGGGTCGCGCCAGATGTGAAAAGGGGAGATAACATCTCCGCGACGCCCCCGTAAATTGGCTACAGTTGTTAATGTGTTCTTGGCCGTAACTGGTGGGCGGATAAATTTTCGGAAGTTCTGGCCAGAGTTTAGGGTGTCTGACTTTTCTCGTGACGGGGGGACCTACATTGGATATACTATAAACGTGATGGATGGACGGTATTTATAAATTACATTGAATAGTTACGGTGTTCGGATTACGTAGGGGTACAGCGATTCGTCAAAGAAAATAACTCGAAGACGTGGAGGGTTGCGTCATAATGCCGAAAAATCAAGGGAGCTAATCAGTTAGAAGAAATGCGTTAAGCCTATTGCTTTTCTCACCGAATTTACAAGGGAAATAAATCGGCTAAGAGAGTGATGATAGAGATGAGTTGGTGGGAAGGGGTGGGGAGGGGCGGAGAAAAAGTAAAAATATATAATATATATATTTTTCGAAAATATATAAAGGGGTGGGGAGGCTAATAAAAACGGCCTGGTGAGGTGTGGGTGTATACACAATTTGTTAATGTGTGATGTTGTACATAAATTACACTTTTTCATACCAATAGACAATTAGAGGATATAACTCAACTAAACTAATACAGATTATAATATAGAAGCACAACATATGAATGACAAATAGTCACATGTAGGAACAGTTTTTCTTCCAGAATTTTTTTTTTCCGGGGAAGGGGGCATTTGAAATTTCCGGGTGGGGTGGGGACTAAAATGTCTGGGGGGTGGGGATCGGACAGTGTTAAAAGTTTATATTTTCTAAATAAATTCCCTTTTGATCCGGGGGGGGGGGCGGGGGCGGTAGAGTGTCTTCGGGGGAAGAGATGCCTGGAAGAAACATGTGAATTATACTTCACTTACCTCATGGACTGTCAGGTTCTAAAAAGAACTTTACTACTTTACTATTACACGTGGGCCTGTGATACATATTGTAAGCACTACTTCTCTGTTATATTTTTACAATGTGATTTATCTTAAAAGTTTACTCTATGAGCCACACAATATTATTCTTTACTGCTTCACCCTAGAGTAAACGATTTATTTAATTTTAGTTTAAAATCAGGAATTAAATTTGAAAAAGTACAAATTTAAAAAGGTGTTCACTTCAGCTTACAGTGCACTCTAGCCTAGAACCCAATTATATTTCCTCTGTAAAGATAGAAAACAATCTACAAATCCCAAATGTAAGCTAGAATCTGATTGGCTGATTGCGTTTCTTGTGGACAGAATCGCTGAAATAATTGGTATCGTATCGTGAAATATTCGCTTGAGCCACCGGCTCGATTTTGAGAAGAAAAAAAATCTCAAGGGAGGTCATTACCAATTTTTTTTTATTCAATTTTAACATTGAACAAAATTGTTTTGAAATTAAAATTTCACGCATTTCCGGAACTCAATAAACTGTTCAAATTTGGTTTCAGCGCAAAAACATTTTAAGAATTGAATTTTTTTTTTCATTTCTATTTGTACTTATTGGGACTGCGTGGTCAAATAGTTGAGCGTTCGTCAGCTAACCCTAAAGACTAGAGTTCGAATCCCGGTACATAGTAGGTCACTGAGTCTTCTCATCTCTGATGGATACCCGACCCACTTTACGAAAATTAAAGGCAGCTATGCAGAGCCCTGACTACACTGTACCATCATATGGCGAGGTCACAGAAACAGATGAACTCTACTTCACCTGCCATGCACCTAAAATTTCGGATCCCTGGCTATATTCGTAGCACGTAATTGAGTCCACTCAGCTCTGATGGATACATAACTCACGTTAGGGAAAGCAAAGGCAGGCTGGGCATAGTGCTGATCACACTATCCCTTCTTTGCTGAGGTCACAAAAACTGATGCACTCTACTTCACCTGTCCCATGGGCAACCATATCCGAAATGGAACTTTACTTATTACTTACTGACATCGACCTACGATTGAAGGGAATTTTACCTTTAATCCTATGTTGACCACACCGACAATATTTCTTATAACCAAAAATAAACTTGTAGACAACTATCTAGCAATACTTTCCTTATAATTTGTTATTATCTCTGACACTGTCTTATGGAATGACTTGGTCGGGGGATAGAGCGTTCGACTGCTAACTGGAAAGTCTTGAGGTCGTCTGTAGGACGTACGTGAGTACTACCAGCACTGATGATGCCCTGACTCACGTCATATGTTAAATTATTTAATTGCTACATATATCCTTGCTATTCATTGTTCGACAAACTCTACTTTCTCAAACCTTGTGGACCGTTTGAAAGTGAACCTTCACGTCAACGTTTCGCCTTATCTACATGATTGTATGACATAATCTACGTCAGTGTATCACATTATCTACTTCACTGTATCACATTATCTACGTCACTGTATCACATTATCTACGTCACTGTATCACATTATCTACGTCACTGTATCACATTATCTACATCACTGTATCACATTATCTACGTCACTGTATCACATTATCTACTTTAATGTATCACCTTATTTACGTCAGTCAACCTCGACTTGCCTTACCTTTTTATACTAAAAAATTTTTACTTTTTTTTTTGTCAGATAACTAAAAAAAATGTAATGTCAGTAAACTAATGTATTTGTTTTTTTTTTATTTTAGGGAAATGCAAAGGCAAGTGGCAGATACATGCGTGCTTTGGCGGTAAGTACATCTATTTCATTCAAATCAATTGATTGGTTGGGTTCAGTTTGAATTATGTAAACTGCTATTTGATTGGTTTTTTGAAAAATTCAAATATCATTAAGTATGTTTTGATTGGATAGATATTAACATTTCATTTCTACGGCTAGGGAGAGCTATTTAAAAACTTAAGAAAATAATTGATTGTGTAAATATGTACATGATTTATTAAAACAAAAATCAACATATTCTGATGAAGAAAAGAAATTTAAATAAAACCTAAACACTACGCAGAAAAATTGTTCAGTTGGTTTTTTTATTTAACTAAAGCCTGAACGCGTTTCAAAAATTTCCGCTCTTTTAATCTCGTACAATGGAAAATGTTCGCCAATATTTTTTTTTATGCTACGAATATTAGAAATTAAAGATTTTTATGCTTTTATAAAAATATCATTTCATTAAAATATGACAAAGTGCATTTAACTGTCTACTTAACTAAACCCATTAGGCACTTCTGTTGCGGAGATTGTAATATAAAAGATGAATGTATCGAATGTTTAGATCGAATGTTTCGATAGATTTATCTATCAACGTGCATGCTCGACATGGTTACACATGAAACAACAATCACACATTCCTTGCAAGCAGTGTTACATTCAGACTTTTTTTCTATGGAGAGGAGAGTACTTTTAATTTTCTGGTATGGGGGGGGGGGGGGCTAAGTTTTCGATCAAGAGCCAGGGGCAGAAGACGTTTTTCGAGTGGGGATGGGGGAGGGGGGGACTCTGATGCCTGAAAGAAACTCTGCTTTGCTACATGCAAACATGCGTGTTTTTTTTTTTTACGTTTCACACAAACTTCACGTAACGAGCAACGTTTTGAGTGCCGGTTCAAAATATTAGCTCGCAACATAAATCAAGCTCTAATAAAGCTAATTGCCTCTTTCATCAATCTCCACAAGTGGATTGAATTCTTCAGTAATTACACACGTCATATCCGTACCCTTATAGCGTTGATGCGCTCGTATTTAATACAAACAACATCGGAATGTATTTTGCAAGTGTGCCGTAATTAATCAAGTCCATACATTTCATGGAAGATAGATCCCGTATATATATATATATATATATATATATATATATATATATATATATATATATATATATATATGTATATATATGTATATATATATATGTATATATATGTATATATATATATATATATATATATATATATATATATATATATATATATATATATATATATATATATATATATATATATATGTATATATATATATATATGTATATATATATATATATATATATATATATATATATATAAGTGTGTTCGCATACATAATATCAAAAGTGCATCGAAGTACCATGTAGCATTAAAGACAACAGTTAATAACATAGTTTTTAACTTGTAAACATACTAGCCGACCTTTGAACTCTGCTCACATAACTCCACATCACCACCGACACGTGGCCTCCCATCATAACATAAACGTATCAATTTCCCTGAGTTGATCTTTACATACCCTCGACTTAAGACGCAGCTATTAACTAATCGTCAACCCTAAAAAATAACGTCACTAAGCGTCCCATGTCTTTAAATAGTTCGTATTAGAGGTATCAAACAACACTTTAAACAAGAGTAAATGTCATTGACAGTTTTTATTACATTTGTAGCTATTTACTAGGTCTTTAGTAGTAACTACAAACTTGCATGAATCGGGGTTTTAAAGGGCGACAATTCAATTTTTCTTTTATGTAAGAACACAATAATACGGTAAGAGTTATCTAAAATGTTTTTCATAATAATACCCAAGATTATTTATTTTTTTGTGCGGCAACAAAGAGTTCAAACTTACATTTAATTATCTATTAAGTTAAGTGTCGAGGGAAGAGTAGGCGAAATTAAGGCTTGACTTTGTCTGTTATGGAAATAATTCCGGTGATAAGAATTTTCGAGACTTCCTTAGTGTATGATTGTTAGTGTTTAAAAAAAAAACAAGGATAATTAGCGATGATAAGAATAATTAGTAATGATCCATTCTTCAAATGAGCAGGAAATGTTCTGTTTTTGCTCCAGGCGGGTTGGTATGGAATGGAGGTTAATGGGTTGAGGAATGGATGTGTGTTAAGTTGTGGTTGACTCAGGGTTGAGCATGGTTGGTGGTTAATAGATTGACGAATGGATGTGTATTAAGATGTGGGTTGTCTTAAGGGTTGGGTATGGTTGTTGGTTTGATAAGTTGTGGAGTGGTTGTGTTAAGTTTAGGTTGGCTCAGGGTTGGGTATAGTTGATGGTTTAATAGGTTGAGGAATTGTTAAATCGTTTGATGTACTTAGGGTTTAGCATGCTGGGGGAGTGGAGGTAATTGGATTTGAAGTCTGGTGCTTTAGTTGTACGGACGATGTCGCGGCAGGGGTTGATGGGGGTGGTATTAATAGTGTGCGTGGGAGGGTGGGATATTAGTGTGGAAGGGGGGGGGGGGGTAACAATAGTGCCGATGGGCTGGGTAGGTGGTCTTGGTGGGAGAGTGTTTGTGTGTGTGGGGGTGGGGGGTCATTAGTATAGCAGGGAGAGTGGGTGTGGTATCAGTAGTGTGGGTGTGGGGTCATTAGTATAGCCAGGGAGAGTGGGGGATGGTATCAGTAGTGTGGGTGTGGGGTCATTAGTATAGCAGGGAGAGTGGGGGATGGTATCAGTAGCGTGGGTGGGTGGGTGGGGGGTCATTAGTACAGCAGGGAGAGTGGGGGATGGTATCAGTAGTGTGGGTGGGTGGGGGGTCATTAGTATAGCAGGGAGAGTGGGTGTGGTATCAGTAGTGTGGGTGGGGGGTCATTAGTATAGCAGGGAGAGTGGGGGATGGTATCAGTAGTGTGGGTGGGGGGTCATTAATATAGCAGGGAGAGTGGGGGATGGTATCAGTAATGTGGGTGGGGGGTCATTAGTATAGCAGGGAGAGTGGGGGGTGGTATCAGTAGTGTGGGTGGGTGGGGGGTCATTAGTATAGCAGGGAGAGTGGGTGTGGTATCAGTAGTGTGGGTGTGGGGTCATTAGTATAGCCAGGGAGAGTGGGGGATGGTATCAGTAGTGTGGGTGGGTGGGGGGTCATTAGTATAGCAGGGAGAGTGGGGGATGGTATCAGTAGTGTGGGTGGGGGGTCATTAGTATAGCAGGGAGAGTGGGGGATGGTATCAGTAGTGTGGGTGGGGGGTCATTAGTATAGCAGGGAGAGTGGGGGATGGTATCAGTAGTGTGGGTGGGGGGTCATTAGTATAGCAGGGAGAGTGGGGGATGGTATCAGTAGTGTGGGTGGGGGGTCATTAGTATAGCAGGGAGAGTGGGGGATGGTATCAGTAGTGTGGGTGGGGGGTCATTAGTATAGCAGGGGGACTGGGGGATGGTATCAGTAGTGTGGGTGGGGGGGTCATTAGTATAGCAGGGGGACTGGGGGATGGTATCAGTAGTGTGGGTGGGGGGGGGGGTCATTTGTATAGCAGGGGGACTGGGGGATGGTATCAGTAGTGTGGGTGGGGGGGTCATTAGTATAGCAGGGGGACTGGGGGATGGTATCAGTAGTGTGGGTGGGGGGGGGTCATTTGTATAGCAGGGGGACTGGGGGATGGTATCAGTAGTGTGGGTGGGGGGGGGTCATTAGTATAGCAGGGGGACTGGGGGATGGTATCAGTAGTGTGGGTGGGGGTTGTATTAATGATATCTGTGACAGGTCGGGAATGGCGCACTACCTGCATAGTCATCGTGTCACGTGTTATAAGCAGGTGATAACCGCTGACAACATATTAAGTAACGAATTCGTGTCAACTAAACAGATAAACTCTACTTCACCTTGTTTTTTTGTCTGATCGGTTACATTGACTCGCACTGTACTTCGAAGAGTTTCATTCCAAAAAACATTACGTCTATCGTAGTAAATAATGTGGGTGGTTGGGGGGGGGGGGGAACTATGTGAATATAAAACCCGCTTTGATATTTATAAATGTGTAAAGTAATAAAGACAACTCTCCTAGTACCAGGTTTGTATTGGATTGTAAACATGTCAAATCTCTCGGTATTTTAAAAAAAAATGGATCCTCTAAACGCTGTTTTGTTCCGTTCGGCTATAATTAAATATTTCATCAGTGATTACGCTCGTTTTAATTGTACAGCACGCTTCCCACATTGTTTGCAGATATTCCATAATATCTTTCAATTCGATAAACAATGAACTGAAATCAATAAGATTTTACAGTGTTAAAATGGGTTTCTTTTTAAAATATTGTATCAATAGCACTCGTCGCGCGCGCATTTAAGAGCTTAAACTAAATAAAATTTTATGATGCCCCTTTTTTTTAATCGAAGCCTATGTTAAAATTTGAAAAAAAAATAGGCATCTCGCAAAAAAAAAAAAAAATAATAACCTACGTTACCTTGACTTGCATGTTGGCTGTAGTATTACAGTGTTCATCATCGGCTTGTGAGGACTGATTCTTTCATACTTGTAATCTACTTTCATTCAGTTAATCAAACTATTAATTGAGGTTATTAAGAGAGTAATATATCAGTACTTGAAGACATTGTTTCTGTAATTAAGACACAAAACATTGCGAATATTAAAGTTTTTAAGAACAGTGGTATCTAGTGTATACCTTGGGATTCTTGTAAAAACAAAAGAGTAAATAATTAATAGAAATTAATCAAACAACATTTCCATGTGACAAAATATATTGCTTTATGAAAACTCGTACTCTATGTAGCTTCTAACTAAATATTACAAATCTAGAATTCGCCGGCCAATAATTTCCATTAATTAAGGCCCTTTCAACCATTTTTCAAAACTCGAATATACGCATCCCACTAAACGACCCCTTTTATAGAAAAGAATATATTTTAGACGTATCGAAGGAAAAAAAATAACCGCTCACGCGAAAAAAACATAAAATCATCTCCACCCATTCATGCACGTGAATTCCATTCAACGGACAAGACTCCTTTTAATGCCAAATTTA